TACATTTTCGAGGGGGACATCGTTCTAAAATATTTTCAGCCCTGCGGCGTTGCCGCTTCTAATGAAAACAAGCAACTTTGTTATTTCAAATGGAACACCTTGTATTTTATTGCATTTTTAGATTCTCCCCGAAGAGCTGATTTCATCAATGCATCACACTTGGGGTCTAGCTGTAATGGTTTCAGGGATATAAAGTGTTCAAAATCGAGATTTTTCAAACTTTAGCATTTTTTTGTGTCGAAATTATTCATTATTGGTCAAAACGGCGCTTATGTCCCCATCTCGACTTGTGATTTACTATCTACTGACATTTATTTGAAACAAATACAGGGTGGTTCAAGATTCAGAATTCTGATCACCCTGTATCTGTTCCAATTAAATGTTAGTAGATAGTAAATCACAAGTTGAGATAGGGACATGAAAGCCGTTTTGACCAATAATGAATAGTTTCGACACAAAAAAATGCTAAAGTTGAAAAATCTCGATTTTGAACACTTTATATCCCTGAAACCATTACAGCTAGACCCCAAGTGTGATGCATTGATGAAATCAGCTCTTCGGGGAGAATCTAAAAATGCAATGAAATACAAGGTGTTCCATTTGAAATAACAAAGTTGTTGCTTCTTTTCATCATCCTTATTTTGTTCACCATTATCATTTTCTTCACGTTGGACCAACAAGTTTTTGTATCATTCTAGATCTTCTAGATTTTTCTATTCTTCTCCAAAATTGTCTTTCATCAAAGTGACGTAAACTCTTCTTTTTCTTATCTGGAATGGAGTTGCCCACTGGAATTGTGTTGAGTTCGATATCTTCTTCAGATTTTCCCTTCTTGGTGAGACATTGATATGAATCTTTTCCTGACCGGAATCGATAATATTCAAACGAACAGACTCTAACATTGACCTTGTTATTGGTTTCGAATTTTTTCACAGAAATTCTCTTGCACCCTGATATTCCTTTGATTTTTTTGAACGTTTTTTCTAGCTCCTTGATGTCATAGAGCTTCCAGTCAGAACCAAGTGATTGCACAGTACCCACTTCAGAATACAAATCCACGTATCCTTTTTTATGTGTAACGATCGGATTTTGTCGTAACATTTTCTCAACTCTCAACTGTTGATGATGAAACCCTGAAAAATATCAGAAACATACAGAAAAGGGAAATCGAATATAATGGTTTGGAGCAGTTCTGCTTCCAATTAAAAGAGACCAAGATGCCTGTAAAAGTACTTTTGAATTATACAACCTGTCCTCAGCAGATGGAAGATTTTCAATCTGAACTAAAATATTTCCATAGCTAGATGAACCTTCAGCTTCTTCCATACTTATCATTGGCACTTTCAATGTTCGATCAAGAAATTCAGAAATGCTAGAATTCCCAGAGGCTGAAAAAAATTGGATTAGATTCCAAAGGAACATTTCTCCAAGAGGAATAAACAAATTACAAGTAGAAATATATGAAAGCAACATGAGCATTATGATACTCAGCCACTTACCTATTGTATAGTGTTGATAATACTACTTACCTACTGAAAGTATATCAAAATTTTCCTTGTTCACAGCCTCAGTAATATGATGTGTAACTTTTTTTTTAATAAATGGATGACAGAATTCAGAGAATAGTTTTGCTCCATACATGTCTTCGACACTTTACTTTCCTTCTCCCCACTTCTGGGTTAGGTCTGTACAGCTAATGTTCTCCAAGTCTTCATTTCTGGAATTTTGAGAGATCCTATCATACCTATGACACATCAAATATGCACTCACCTATTTATAAAAATGAGAGTCCCTATAACATGTTTACAAAACCCAGAGTTCCCTGCTTTACATGAACATTGGCATATCCAAAATACATTATCTTGGGGATTAATTTTTATTCCATGGGGAAGCTGCGTGAGGTTGAGGTTTGTAAGCACAAGCTCTTGATTACATGTGTTTGTTCAACATCTACCCCACACAATATAATATGTCCAGCTCTAAAGACAGCCTCTTCCTCTTTCAATGGCCTTTATCGCCTATGTGGTCGATAATATTCGAAATACTTACCTCAATTCTAGGCATTTTCGAATGTATACTGAACATAAATCAAAATTCTTTGTTCTGGTATCAGAATCCACCTTGACTTGTGGTTGAAAAATACGCTTCTAAATGCACTAAGGAACTATAAAATACCTTCTCCACTTTCTAATATCGTTGTTGATTGAATTTTGCTCTGAATATCCCTGGAAAACTCTATTTTGGAAAAGAAACGCTGATTTCGAAATGACCAATTTGCGGGTACATCTACATATGGCAATGATTTTGTTGTTCATACTCAGTTCGACATTGATTTGACGTTTGATAGAGCCATCTATTGGTTCGTGATTTTCGCGAATTAGATCCTTCTTCAGGTCTGCATATTTTGATACACCGAGCCAAGTCTAAGTTTTGTGCCTTCAGTAACATTTCTCTGACATTATTGTTCCTTACGTCACATATTATGCGATCTCTTATTAAAGATTCCATTAGTCCTTCAAATCCTCAAACCTTAGCTTTTCTTCTCAATTCGACAATATATCAATCAATACATTGGTTTTCCTTCAGATTACATGTGAAGAAAATGTGCATAATCAGAGTTTGATTTTTAAGTGGCATAAAATTATTAGGAAATGCTTCCAATATCATTGTTACATTTAAGACATCCTCTATATTTTGTGGAGGTTCAGCTTCAAATTCAAAGGTATTGAATATGTTTATACATTTTCCTCCCATTATATGCAATAGTAGAGCCCTTTGTACTTTCAATGGTTTCTTCTCCAACTCTGCTGCAGTTCAGTAGATTTCAATCATCTGCTTATATTTTTCAGCAGGACTGTTCCCCGCTTCGAAAGCTTCAGGCGGTATCAAAGACATTGCCATATTTTGCTGTATTTTTGTGCAGATGTTATCCAGTTTTTTGTTTCGATTATTGTTTCCGCTGCCACCATGTCAATAATTATTTTTATCCTCGTAATATATTATATATTTACTAGTATAACAGATATCATCGAATACTTCGATGAATCTTCAATATAAATTATATTCCCAACTCGAAGATTTATTATTTTTTATTAATGATGTTTTCGTCTCACTATAGCAACATAACTTATTCAAAATAAAAGATAAACTGATATAATACAGAGTCGTATCCTACTAGGAATATAATTTATATTGAAGATTCATCGAAGTTTTTGATGATATCTATTATATGCCATTTATAACAGATATCATCAAATACTTCTATGAATCTTCAATATAAATTATATTCCTCAACTCGAAGATTTATTATTTTCAATTTTTTTTTGTTTTTTTGTTTTTTCATTCTCTATCATTTTTTTTTTGTTTTTTTTTGTTTCATCTACTTTAGTTTTGTTAAATTTCTTATACAGCATGAAATTAAAATTGTAATATAAAAAAATTTTAATGAAAAAATACTCTAAAATAGAAAACTGCCTCACTTAGAAAATTTACTCTGAAGGGTCTTGGGGCTGATCCATTCCTGTAGATCCTTCCAGTTGCTTTGCAGCTCGCTTTTGTGCTTCATTTTCCTTCTTAACATGTTCTGCTGCATATCTTTCAAGTGTTCTTGGTTGTATATTATCATCTGATATAACCACAGTTGCTAAGGAATCAATGGTGGCTGCAACATTATAAGTGAAACTGCTTTCCCCTCTAGCGACCAGTGGAGTGTGCACTGATCTCAACATGCGAGTCAGGGTTGGTTTGAAGTCTCCACAAGCAGTGAATGCTGCATCGTATGACTCCTGAGTGAAGAAGCAAGATATCATTAGCATACAGGTTAAGGCTTCGCCCAGAGAAGCAAGATTCAACAGGACTTTTATATTTTCAAAGTTCTTGTCCATCGCTTCAACTCTTTTTAGTGCTCTGATACATTGCACACTCCCTCTCAAACTGTCAAAAGGAAAGATGAATGGGTCACTGATGAGAGCTGATAAAACCGAACTAACTTCTCGTCCAATGACATTGTATATGTCTAGTTCATATACTTTTGCAACTGGAATTGGGCTGCCAGGTTTGACCCTTGCTTTTAGGGCAACATTAAGATTGATCTTATCAGAAGCATTCATGATATCCACCCATATTAAGCTCCCAGTTTCAAATATTGACTTAAAGACATCATTCAATGTGTCCTTATCAGTCAGCACTCCAATAACTTATTACCCTCAACTGGCGTGTTTTAATTTCTTCAGGATCTCTCTGATACAAAATTGCACCACATCCATAATAGGAGGCATCAGTCGAGAGTTCATAATCCAGTCTAGGGTCTGCAATTCTGAGGGCCGGTTTATCAATCGAGAGCTAAAACTTCGTGCTAGCTAACTAACAGCTAATTCTATCTACTGGTCAAAGTATTTGTTAAATCACTTGCTGTTCATTGCTGCATATCTATCTTGTAGCTAAGTAGCTTCCAGTTATGAGAATGTTGGTAGCCGTGATTTACAAATAAGTTGATTTGATTGGTCGAAAACATGATGTTTACAGAATAAGGTGTCAAAGTCAAATCAAAATTAAATTAAAAGGTAACCTTAAAAAATCTGTGATCTCTTTATCAAATAAAATATTAAAATGTCACAAAATGGATTAAAACAAAACTAATAACTCTGCTAATAAGAAAAGAGTAGCAAATTTCACAGACAGTGAGTGCAGTTTATTGTTGAGAGTGGTTAATAGTTACAAAAATATTATTGAGAATAAGAAAACGGATGCAGTGACTTGGAAGTAGAAGGAAGTCACTTGGAAGAAAATCGCTGAAAAATTCAATGCTGATTCCTCAGGTCCAGTAAGTAATTTTCCATCCAGAAACCCGATATATCATTAACTTTGGCCAAAGGATTGTTTGAATTATATTCTTGCATTGGAAAAATTGTTTGTCCTGTTCATCTACTGCTTTCAGATTTTTTTTACATTCATAATTCATGTTGCAGCCTCGCTCAGATATTCAATTGAAGTATAAATATATGGCGATTAAGAAGAATATCAAAAAACAATATAGTACACATACTTCCTATTTAAGAGGTACTGGTGGTGGATCATATGTGCCACCACCTACCCCAAAAAATGGAGATGAAAAATTATTGATGGAAACAATTGCCATTTCAGTAAAAGGGCTCCAGAATGAATTTGATTCTGATGCACTTGCAGGTAAGCATTGATAATGGATCATTATATCGTACTCTCATCAACTACTTTTAGCTGTTATGTTGAAGTATTTTTTTTATCTTCAGGGTGCTACGGAATGTCTGCTGCTCAACTCACTTCAATGGACCAATCCCAGATTATTGAGGTAGATATGATAGAAACAGACTGGAACGAACCACATGCTCAGTTACTACAAACTCCTAAACATCCACTTTTGAATATTTATAATTTAAGTGATGATGAAATAGAAAAAGGAAATAAAGTTCCAGAGACACAAGAGAATCATCCAGCAGTGCTATCAGAAAATTTACCAAACCCACATTCTGAAGATTTGACAACTCAAAAAGAATTCAACTTACCCCAACCCAGTGAGTATTTTTTCATGATAAATGTCTTCCACTCTGATTTTCAATCAATATAATTTTGAATACAATAAATTTTCAGCCACATGGCAAACCAGAAGGAGGCCAGTGATTCCCAAAAGAAAAACAGTATCTTCTGTAGCTGGCAAATTTGAAATCCTGGCTGAACAAAAATGCCAGTTGATTGAAATTGAGAAAAACATTGCCAAACAAAGAGAAACTTATTCCAAAACTGAGCAAGAAATGAACCTTAAATTACTGGAGGGACAAAATGAAGAACAAAAATTGAAAATCAAATTTCTGGAAAGTCAGCTTGGAGAGCAAAAATTGAAGATTGAATTGTTGAAAATTCAGATAAACAATTTACAATCAGTGAAAAAAATACAAATATCTTCATCAGGAAGATGAAATGTGCTGAATTTCTGTCATAATATTTTTTGATTAGCATTCATATGTAAGGGATCAAATGGATTGAGAATTTGAAATGTTTAGTTTTTGTTGGTTTTTCATGCTTTATATATTCAATGTTGATTCAAATGAAAATACAGTTTCAACAAAGATATGTCTATTAGTGCTAAGTACAAGATTGGACACATTTCTTGAGCAATTAGTGTTCTTCATACAATCTTGGGAAGTAATCATTCAATAGTACATCACGAGCATTGAAGTTGATTTGTTGTTCAGGTGGATCGACAGCAATGTCTTCATCAAAATCAATATTAGGTGGTAGAATCTCATCATCATATGGTGGCATTTCTTCATTTTGTTGAAGAGCAATATTGTGCAATACTGTTTCACAGTTTCCATTTTCAGTCGAACACCTAATGCTAATACAGGGAACCTCCTTTTCATTACTCCATACTGTCTTTCCACTGCATTTCTTGTACGCCTAACTGAAAGATATATAAATATTGAAATTGACTCTGTTAGCTTAATTTTCATACATACTATATCATTCACCTACCAGACTCATTATATAACTGCTGAATATCCGTGACAGCCCTCAATAATGGAGTTAGTACATGGTTGGTATTAGCATAACCACTATCAGCTACAATTAAACTATCTCCAAAATCATTATTATGTATTCTGTGATTGATGTAAGAATTATCAAAAATGATTTGGTCATGGGTTGAACCTGGCCAGCGTGCTACTATATCCATTATTTTTGAATTGGCAGATGATATTGTTTGAACATTCAATGAAAAATATCCCTTTCTATTTCTAAACAATTCTGCATGCTCGCCACCTGAAAAATTCCTTATTATTTATTTCATTATGTTAGGTGATCTGTGGTATAACACTCAATAGGTCTACAAAACATTGATCTCAAGTATTTTACCTGGTGACTGAATTTTGATATGTGTGCAATCAATTGACCCTATGACTCTTGGCATGCGAGCAATTTGATAAAATTCCAATCTCAATTGCCCAATCTCTTCTTCATCCTCTGGCATTTTTATGTACCTTCGATTCAAAGATGCCAATACTCTCGTCACTTTCTTGATCACATTGCAAGCTGAACTCTTGCTGACATTTAGGAAATCTCCTATGGTGATCAGAAAACTCCCAGTGGCATAAAATCGCAGGGTCATGAGTAACTGATTTATGGGGCTAATTGAATGATTTCTGAAAAAAAAACTGGAATTTTAAATTTATTCACACTCTTACTGATGATATCAATATTCGAATCTGTATCACATAAAGCCTTCACTTTCAAACCATTTATTAGTACTTCTCTTGTATTATCATCATTCATTTGTTCTGAATAGTTAGAAAATGTGCAATAAATTTCAGTGTCATTCATTTCATTCCCATCACAATAATTTTTGGTATTTGCCACATTTCTATTTTCTGATCTTCTTTCCTGAATTCTATCTCCACTTTCCAATCCTCTTCTTTCTTGAAACCTCATACTACTTCCATTTTGATTATCACGATACCTGTCTCTCCTTTGAAATTCATTTTGTCTTCTTCCTGATTGAACGTCGAAACTTTGAACTCTTGATTTTACACATTTCAAAGCATTCAATAAGTCTACTTTATTCTTCATGTCCTTATTCGAAATTTGCCTTTGGATATGATATGGCAAGCCAAGAACTATTAAAGCCAATGTGGATTCCTCTGCCATTTTCGAATCAGCCCTAGACAATAATCTTTGTTTTTCAAAATAATATTCAATAATTGATCCATATTTGAAATGGAAATTCAAAGCTTTTTCCCATTTAGATATAGTTTCTTCCTCAAAAGTTGATATAAAACTATTTGTCCACTCTTGCCAATCCATATTATTCAAATTCGTTTGGAATCTATCTTCATACCATTTCAATGCGATTCCATTTAAATGGGATCCTAAATTGAATATCTTGTCCGCATTTGACTCCCAATTATTAGATCTTGCAGCAAACTCATATGAATTGATCCATGAATACGGGTCTTCATTTATGCCGGTGAAGGGAGTTATCTTCATTTGATTTCTACCTGCCGTGGTCATATTGAGCCATCTCTCCATCATCATACTCAGGTCGTTTTTATCAATTCTGATATAATTATCAGTGTCATGTTGGATGTCATTTTGATGTTCAAGATTCCTGAAATTTGGAGTTTGGTCACTTTCAAAATCTACGCATATAAAATCTCTTGCTGCCGACTGCGCCATTTATAACAGATATCATCAAATACTTCGATGAATCTTCAATATGAATTATATTCCTCAACTCGAAGATTCATTATTTTTTATTAATGATGTTTTCATCTCACTATAGCAACATAACTTATTCAAAATAAAAGATAAACTGATATAGATAATACAGAGTCGTATCCTACAACTAGTATATGTCTTTTGATAAGAGCTTTTATGAACTCGTCTTTCACGTGGTTCTACAGGTTATATATACGTTATATAATCATGACATATATGACATATATGTGACGGTATACAGATGTCACCAAAATGTGAGTGACAGTATAGTTAAGGTGAAGTTACTAACTTAAGGTGTATCCACATGATTCTATCATGATGTATACGTTACATCCGCAATGTATTCTTCGCTGATGTCATGATAGATATTCGTTTTCTGCACTTGCTAACCAAACTTTGAAGGAGGGATAAGTGTCCATGGCTGATTTGGTACATTTTACTATTTTCAAAATAGATGCCATAAAATGCTCTACTTTCTTCCTCTTCCAACAATTTAGGTTATTCGTTTTTATCGAGAACCTCAATTTTCGTTTCATCATTTTCCATATGACCCAAAGAATGAATAATTGCTCTCATCCAAGATGTATCATTGGTTCAAGTAGGACAGAAATTATAGTAATACAACTGCTACTTTTTATAAAACATTTTGAATGAGAACAATTTGATTATTGATTTTGCCACTGAAATATTCATTTTACTGATTGTTGTCGTACACCATCGAAGCCTATAGATGAACGGAATGATAAAATGCAGGTCTGTATTTGAAAAAATATAAAGTTGATGGTGGCTGCTCGAAAAACAAACGTCGGAATTTCAATTCTACAATTTCATCTTGTTGAGGAGTGAAAATATCTCTTCAAATAAACAGACGAATATATAGAGGATATATCAGGCAATAATCGGGATTTTTCAAACTCTGATACAGCCTTTTGTTGAGTAAAAACTTCGGTTATGAAGTGGGAAGAGACTGATATACAGGGTGTTCTATGTATTTTCGCGACACTCCCCCTTCTTGAAAACGTCGTCCCGACGTTTCGAACAACTGCAGCTTCAGCTCTGAGCGTCCGAAGTCCTTGGAAGCGACGACTGGCACTGTGAACAAAAAAAATACACAGAAAATTGTTGTTCACAAACCTAAAAGTCCTTAAACTCAAAGAACATTATTCCTCGGAATTCTTGATGATCCTGGTATCGGTTACATTTTCGCGAAAGCTTAAACTCAAAAGCTGCAAGCGATTATATAAAAATGAAAATAAACGATAACTTTAGCCTTCCTTGAAAGTTTCTGTATTGAGAATTGCTTCCCAATAATAATGATTGTCTCTTAGAACAATATTTTCGTAACCTAGAATCCTCTCAAATGTTATCGATCAACCAAAATCATTTCCCTATTTCCAAAATTCCAACATCCTCCCAGGTTATTTTTGAAACATATTTTTCCCACTTATTCATTCACAAGACATGGTATAAATGTTAAAATAATCAATGTAGAGGTAGGACTGTACAAAGTGTACCAATACTTCAAAACAGATTTTAGGTACTAACTGAATCAAAAACATCGGTGTTGACCAATAGAAAACAACAAAGTACAGGTAAGTACCGGTCACAAAAAAGTACCTAGCTACCATTTGGTAACCATTAATTATAAAAACAGAGTCGACTCTTTAAATTACTTATAAGTATCAGCTTCTGCTCATCTTCAAAAAAGTACTCAAACATTCAGTATTTACTTTTTCCTGTATTAGGCCTGCTATCCGCTGAATTCTGTCCAATAATTATTGCATTACTCTTGCTTTAAATTTTTTCATTCAAAGTCTCTTTGACTATCGGTGGTTCCAGAAAAATACCCTGTACAATAATTTCTTCAATTTCCTTTCGATCTTTCTTTGCTCTTACATAACGATAAAAAAAACAAATTATAGAACTTACTAATACAATAATGACACTATTTCCACTGATGTCATTTAACAAGATACTCCATCCATTCAATATTCAATATTTATATTAACGGACTTTTCGCATTGGGCAACGGAAACATAGTCGGATTCGCAGATGACACTGCCATTTTTTATAAGGCAGATGACTGGAATTCCCTGAAAATTAAAGTTGAAACAGAATTCTCCCACATAAAATGTTGGCTGGATAAGAAGTTACTGACGGTGAATATTGATAAAACGCATTACCTACCGTTCTGTTGTAATGCAGCTGGAGCACCCTCATTTGATCAACTAATAATAAAAACTGATACACCATTCCACATTTTTCCCGAAAAGAAAATAAAATACTTAGGAATAATTCTAGACACTCATTTGGAATGGGACCTCCATATTAAATTCACCAACCTTATATTACTCGCTTGTGGAAAGTCATATACGCTATGGAATAGCAGTGTGGGGAGGAGCCTTGAATACTCACATTCATCAACTCGAAGTTATGCAAAGGCGTTTTCTCAAGTTAATTTTCTCTAAAAATAGTAGGTATCCTTCTGATAGTTTATGCATCGAAACTCGTATGTTGAACATAAGACAGTTGTATTTTTTATGCTCTAGCACTAGATATCACACAAATAAACATACAGCATTGCTTCCTTCACATCAGTACCACACTCGCCAAAGAGATCAGTACACTACACCCTTAATGGTCAGGGTCGTTACTCAAAGATCTTATATTTTCTTTGCACTTAAACTCTACAACCGCATTCCTGAAA